CTAACAACTTAGGTGTTGCCCGCTGCACTCTGCGGGCAAGAGCGAAGCCATTAGGACTTAGAACAAAAGTATGTCCTTGGAAGAAGTGGGTGGAATTTTATGCTGAGGAGGCGGGAAGACATCTTTTCTGGGGGAGGAGTCTCATTTTATAAAACTGCCGAAAAACCTTATGGAAAAAAAAAAGAAATCAAGTGTCCACACCTCATCCTCGGCTCTGCTGATGAAATGTCCCTGTCCTTTGTCTTCACGTGTGCACAGATCTCCGCATTGTTCTGGGAAGGAGGAAATTTGTATTAAGGAGGAGGACCACTCCGTAAGCCTCGAAACAAATGAGCTAATTGAGAAATTCAATTCAGGAAGCAGGGAGGGGAAAGTGAAAGAGGAATCCCGCAGCCACTGTGCGGAGCGAGAGCCCAAGCAGCTGCCTTCAGCTAATGTCAGGGCTGGAGAAGGACGGAAAAGAAACTTCCCAAGCTTGTTTGCTGTTTATCTTCAGGATTCCTGGAGCTCCCTGGCTGGTAGAGAGAGAGAGAAAGAGAGAGAGAGAGAGAGAGAGAGAGAGGAGAGAGAGAGAGAGGAGAGAGAGAGAGAGAGAGAGAGAGAGAGAGGAGGTCTAGGAAGCCAGTTTAAGAAAGGGAGCTGTTTAGAAACCCCAGAGAGAATGGGAGACCTGTGAGTATTTGACACAAAGAAACAGGAGACAGAGCCAAGTGCTTGATGTAAAAATTTGGGTGAGAAAGCCAGCCAAGGATCCAAAAGAAGAAAAGAGTGAAAATTCCAAGAGCTCACCTCTCCTCTGTGATGTTGCTTAGTGGAGTAGATGTGTGTGTGTGTGTGTGTGTGTGTGTGTGTGTGTATTGTGTATGCACCAGAACCCAGGACTTTATATATGCTGCCCCCAAGGTTTGTTTTACTGTGTTGCTCAAGTAAACACTGTATTAGAGAACATGCTTCATAGTATAACCTCAGAGGCTCCCTCCAGGTCAGCATGAACCACACTATCTGGACTTTGAGATTGGAACTGGAGGGGCATACTCTTGTCAGGAGCATAAGGCTCTCTCTACAGGACAAAAGTGCCCCCCCACCCCCCACAGGCACTCAAGTGCACTTGGGTCATTTAAATATTTCTGCATGCACATGGCTCTGAACCTGCAACAGCTCAGGAGAGAGGGAAGAGGCATTGGAAGCCGGAAGGTACGCTAAAACCAAGTCAGCGTCATTGGGTAATGGAAACCACTTCCTTCGGGTGGGTTGCTTCATTTCCCTACTGTGAAGAGGGCAATGATAATAATGAGGGACCGTTTATAGATGTGTACTTTATGCACAGGCCTGTAAAAATAATTTTAGAATGTATTTATTTTGTTTTACCTGTCCATGTGTGTGTTTGCTGTGCCAGAGTGTATGTATGTGCATTACATGCAACCAGGAGGCAGGGGAGGTCAGAGGAGGGTGTTGACTCCCCTGGACCTGGAGCAACAAACAGTTGTGAGCTGCCTGGTGTGGGCTCTGGGAACTGAACTTGGATCCTCTGAAAGAGCAGTATGTGCTCTTAACCTCTGAACCCTCTCTCCAGCCGCCCCCATCAGTTTTTTTTTTATGTTAATAAAGAATGATACTGGGGCTGAAGAGATGGCTCAGTGGTTAAGAGAACTGGTTGTTCTTTCAGAGGACCCAGGTTCAATTCCCAGCACTCACATAACAGGTCACAACTATCTATATAACTCTAGTTCCAGGGGATCTGATACCCTCACACAGACATACATATAGACAAAATATCAATGCACATAAAATAAAAGTAAATAAAGCATTAATGAAAAAAAACCCAAGAATGATACCTTTTGTATTCTAGGCCTTGAGCTGAAAATTCTGAACACTCTATGCCAACAGTTATTCCTGATAAATCTATAAGGCAGGTGTCACTAAAACAAATTGTGTGTGTGCATGTGTGTGTGTGCGTGTGTGTGTGAACTCAAGTTTTCAGGCTTGGTAACGAGAGCCTTTCTTGGATGAATCACTCACCCATCACCTGCCACCTCTCATTTTCTTTCCTTTTCTCTGTTTTGGGAAGCAGGGTCTTACAACCCAGACTTTGAACTCATCATGTAGCCAAGGATGGCCCTGTAACCAGCAGTTTCTCGGTCCTGCCTGGCCCCAAGGTACCACAGCTACTTATAAAATAATCACTCAGAGGCTCATATTACTTTCAAACTGTATGGTCTATGGCTTCAGCTTCTTGCTAGCTAGCTCTTTCATCTTAAATTAACCCATTCCTATTAATCTATATGTTGCCAAGTGGCCATGGCGTTACCGGTCTGCTGACATCTTGTTCCTTGGGCAGTGGCTGCCATCTCTCTCTCTCTCTCTCTCTCTGTGTCTCCCTCCTCCGTCCTTCTTCTCTCTGTATCTCTGCTTGGATTTCCCGCCTGGCTGTAAACTTCTTGCCACAGGCCAAAACAACTTTATTTATTATCCAATGGGAGTCACACATATTCACAGCATGCAGAAAGACATCCCACAGCATGACCCTGAACTGCTGAACCTTCTGCCTTCTCCTTCCGGATGCTGGGATGACAGGCAAGTGCCATCATTCTTCCTAACACTTTTGTTTTCTAAGTATGAAGCTTGGGGAGGCAAGGTGCTCCAGATCCTATGAGAATGAATGTTCCTGACCCCAAGTACAATATACCTCCTAAGAGGAGGCTTGTTCCCCACTCTTTACTCAGCTTTTTACTTTTTTTTTTTTTTTTTTTTTTTTTTACATTCCACAGCTTTTTACTTTTTACTCAGCAAACTCTTACACACTCTGGTCCATACCATGAGCCAAGCCCTGCACTGCACTCTGGGAATTAAGTTGTGAACGAGACAGACAGCAACTTTGTCATGAGTCAACGAACAGGGTGTTTTCAGAGGATGTGGGGCAGGGCTAAGAAGGAAAGAGAACAGATGGGATGGAGAGTGATCAAAGCTAGAGTAACAGTCTGGGGTGGAAGACCACGAAAAAGACACGGATGATCAGCCTGGATGCTACATAAGATCTAGACTCCCAAGGAAGACTCTTTTGCATCTAGGCTAAGGGAGCATGAAATCAGGTCTCCAGGGAGGAAAGATCTGGGTATGTTGAAAAGTCCAACTGATGTTGTCTTCCCTCCCTTGTTTTAGTGTTTTTTTTTTTTTTATGATTTTATTTAATTATTTAAAAAATGTTTTAAGAGTTTCATATGCATCAGCAGTTAAGAGCACTCGCTGTTCTTCCAGAAGACCTGAATTCTGTCCCCCTCATCCATGTTAAGTGGCTTACAACCATCTGTAACTCCAGCACCTGCACTGACATTCCCATACCTGGATACAAACACACACTTACCCTTAGATGTGTACTGTATTCATGTCATCCTCACCCCTAGTTCCTCCTGTGTTCCCACCACCCCACAAGCTCTCCAATTCATGACCTTTTTTCTTTATTATATTATTTATTATATATTAATATATTTATTATACATTATATATACTTTTATATAGTGAATAAGCATACAAATACAACCTGTTGGGTCTATTTAGCATTGTTCATATGTATATGTTTTTAGGACTGACTGCTTAGTGTTGGATAAACAGTTAGGGGGCTCATGCCTGGGGGAGACTGACTGATTGCCTTCTCTTAGTCATTAATTGCCTGTAGCTCTTCATTTTGCTTTTAAAGTAAATAGTCTTGCTACGTAACTCTGGCTGGCTCTAGAACTTGTCGCAATCCTCCTGGCTCAGCCTCCTGAGTGCTGGGTGTACAAGTGTCTACCATCACCTAGTATCTTTTTATGCTTTTCTTATGGAGCAGTATGTGTGTTTGTGTGCACGCATATGTGTGTGTGTGTGTGTGTGTGTGTGTGTGTGTGTGTGTGTGTGTGTGTGAGAGAGAGAGAGAGAGAGAGAGAGAGAGAGAGAGAGAGAGAGAGAGAGAGAGAGGGAGAGCACATTATCCCAGGTATCAAATAAAGAGGATAATTTGAATATGGCTCAGCAGATAAAGGTGCTTGGTGCCAAGCCTGATGACTTGAGTTCAATTCCCAAGACTCACAAGGTGAAAGGAGAGAACTGAGTACAAGTTGTCCTTTGGTCTCCACACATGTGCCATGGCATGTTCACATACAACAAAATAAATTAAGTGTAATTTTGTTAAAGCCTAAAATATTAACTACCTGGAATTTTACAGGAAAAAAAATGCTGAGGTCTTCTAGTCTCAAGCAGTCCTGGTATCAACAGGTATCCCCAGGTGGCTGGGGTAAACTGGTAACAGTCAACGACTTTATCTATCTATCTATCTATCTATCTATCTATCTATCTATCTATCTATTTTTAAATAGTTTTCTTTCTTTTAAAAATTAAAAAACAATTCATCTGGTAACAGCCAACGACTTTATCTATCTATCTATCTATCTATCTATCTATCTATCTATCTATCTATTTTTAAATAGTTTTCTTTCTTTTAAAAATTAAAAAACAATTCATTTGTTTTTATCTTATATGCCTACATGTCTGTCTGAGGGTGTCAGATCCCCTGAAACTGGAATTACAAACAGTTATGAGCTGCCATGTGGGTGCTGGGGATTGAACCCGAGTCCTCTGGAAGAGCAGCCAGTGCTCTCAACTGCTGAGCCATCTCTCCAGCCCCCCAGCCCATGACTTTAAGCCAAGTTCTTCCTGGGGATGAAGATGGTTCCTTATAAAGAGATGGGCAGGAGGCAGCTCTTTTCTTTCTGCCTCTGAATAACCATAAGATGGCTCCTCATCAGGTTTCCTAAAACCACTAAGAGACAGGACACACATGTAATGTGGCAGGGAAGAAACATGAGAAGAGGGTAAATCTCTGCAGATGCTTGCTGCGCCCTGGCCAAGTGCCACAATGCCCTATCTCCAGATTTGGGTTTAAGTTACGGTCCAGTTCCTGAAGCTGAACTTGACCTCAAAGATAAAAATCTCTTGTTTTTTTTTTTTTTTTTTTTTTTTTGTTTTTTTGTTTTTGTTTTTGCGAGACAGGATTTCTCTGTGCAACAGTCCTGGCTATCCTGGAACTTGCTTTGTAGACCAGGCTGGCTTTGAACTCACTGAGATTCACCTGCCTCTGCCTCCCAAGTGCTGGAATTAAAGGCGTGTGCCACCACCGCCCAGCTATGTGTAAGAAACCCAAGTTTCCCAGAGAAAAAAAGGAGCTGTCCAGGGCAGCGTGCATGAGAGGTCAGTTCTGTCCAACGCTAAGCACAACTTCCTATTTTATGATCCCACCAAGGAGAAACAACAGGATGTTGGCATTTGGCGCCTTGCTTGAATAGGTAAAATGTCTGTGACCCAAGGAGAATTGACACTGTGGGTGACTGGGGTCCCCTCCCAACAGTTACTGTCTCTTTTCCCACTAGCAGACCAAGATCTGTGGAATGAGGATCAAAGCACATCATGGAGTCCTATTTCCATTTTGTAGAAGGTTTCATCTGGAGTCCATGGAAGGGGGTGTAGGAGTCCACATCTGACTAGCTGCCGGGTTGCAAGGCTTCTTTCCACAGAACACATTGTCACGGGCACCATTCTGTACCAGAGGTGGACAAGCCTTCTCTGTGAAGGACTAGGTGCTTTACAATTAGATTTCTGAGGTCCTTTGGTCTGTGTTTCAACTGCTGAAATCTGGTGAGAAAGCAGTTCAAATAATGTTTCAATGAGTGTATGATTCTGTGTTCTAACACAATGTTGTTGACAAAAATAGATTGTGGGCCAGATTTCGTAATGAATCATAGTTTGCTATCATTTTGAATAGACCCATCATGATTCATTTCTCAGCACTGCACACATCTTCAATGATTAAGATATTGACTAAAGGGGGCTGGAGAGATAGCTCAGAGGTTAAGAGCACTGACTGCTTTTCCAGAGGTCCTGAGTTCAATTCCCAGCAACCACACAGTGGCTCACAACCATCTGTAATGAGATCTGGTGCCCTCTTCTGGCCTGCAGTCATACATGCTGTATACATAATAAATAAATAAATCTTTAAAAGAAAGATATTGACTAAAGGCTGCATCAATAGATTCTCTTAGAAAGGACATCATGGATGGTGACTCTTAGTGTGTTCTAAGTCAGTATTACATGGAGTAAGTCTTAGGCTCTTTGGCAGAGAGGTGAATGTTAGCCCTTATGATCTAGTTATAGATTTTCGTAAATTTAAGTCTCCAGGGCTTGGAGATATGACTCAGTTACTCACAGCTGCCTCTAACTCCAGCTCCAGGGGGATCTGATGCCCTCTTCTGGCCTCCACAGGCAACTGCACTCAAGTGCACATACCCCACACAGACACATATGTACACACATAATTTAAAAAAATAAACAGAATAAAATCCTTGTCTTTGTCTCAATTGTGCTACCTTTATAGACAAATATTCATAGTAAAATAGGTACGAGAGTTCCCATAACTAGTTCTGGAAGCTCCTTAGTGTCCCTCTTCTCCATTCTGTCAGAGCTTGGGTCACACCCCAGGAGAAAGGTGTGCCAACAGCAAGCAGTACAACATTCCCAAGCTGGACCCAGTGCTCTCTGAACTGCATGATGAAATCACAAGCTGTCAACCATTGGCTGGTCACAGACTCAGGTAGGGAATGAGGCAGGAAGATGATAGGTAAAGGATGGATTTCTGGATTCCCTCTTGCATCTGAATGAAGCCAAATGTCTCAAGACCTTCCACAAAGTCAGTAAAAAGCCATTGCTGTGGGATGGTCTGTATGTCAAATGTGTTGCTGATTAGTCAATAAATAAAACACTGATTGGCCATTGGCTAGGCAGGAAGTATAGGCAGGACAAGGAGGAGAAAAAAGCTGAGAAATGGAAGGTTGAGTCAGAGAGACACTGCCAGCTGCCACGATGACAAACAGCATATGAAGATGCCGGTAAGCCACGAGCCACGTGGCAGGGTATAGATTTATAGAAATGGATTAATTTAAGCTGTAAGAAGAGATAGCAAGAAGCCTGCCACGGCCATACAGTTTGTAAGCAATATAAGTCTCTGTGTTTACTTGGTTGGGTTTGAGCAGCTTTGGTACTGGCAGGTGAGAGAGATTTGTCCTGACTGTGGGCCAGGCAGGAAAACTTCAGCTACAAATGGCGCCCAACGTGGGGCAAGAGTTTCCACCTAAAAACTGAGAAAAAAGATTCTAAAACGGAGCTAAAAACAGTTCCTAATTGTCTCTCTCAAATGAGCGGCAGCTGCTGGTTTGAGCTACTGGTGGGTTCCTAGCGTGCGCGCTCGACCTGCAGTATGGCGGGAATGAGGCCTCTGCAAGTGGCACATTAAGCTGCATGGTGGATTTAGCCTTTGCAGGTACAAAACAAAAAAAGAGGTTTCTGGACTACACGCTGCTTGGATAAAAGCATAGACTCATGATAGCTCCCAGAGCTGGTGGTAAACGTAGCCATGTTGGGAAGCTGAGGTGGGCGGAGCCAGCAGCCACAGCTGCTGCAGTTTAAAGCAATAGATTCACAATAAGACAGATTCAGATGTAATAGTTTACAATGTGTGTAAAAGATACGTAGGCTTGAAAGAGACAAAAAAGGTGATATATAGAGTTATAGAAACAAATACATAGTTTAAAAAAATAAAGTCTTTAAAGAGACAGTAAAAATAATATAGAAAATAAGCCATGTAAAGATGAATATTACACAGAGAATCTGGATTGTGTTGTCTTTGGGATTTTTAACTGCAGAAAAACATTTGATCGTAAAAGATGTTGAGTTAAACCAATATGTATATTTTAAAGATACCTTGACTTCAAAATTTGGATGTAAGGATATGTTGCTTTTGTTCCCACAGAAAGCCAGAGGCTATGGATTTGTTCCAGATTAAGATACATCAGGTTTGACCAGCCAAGACCCCCTGAAAGGTCTCGGATGACACCATGGCCCAGATGATCCAACATCCAAAATGGTTTGAAGGCAACTGGCTCAGACGATACAGCCTCACGGACTACTCCATGATCCTAAAATTTTCTTTGTGTCCCCATAAGATACAGCGCCCCCCTCCAGTAGGAAGTAGTAAGAGAAGCTATGCCCAAATTCCCAAATTATATGTAATTTTACTTTGTTAAGGTTAAAACCTTCCTTTTTGAAAAGAGGGAAGTGCTGTGGGATGGTCTATATGTCAAATGTGTTGCTGATTAGTCAATAAATAAAACACTGATTGGCCATTGACTAGGCAGGAAGTGTAGGCGGGACAAGGAGGAGAATAAAGCTGGGAAGTGGAAGGCTGAGTCAGAGAGACACTGCCAGCCGCCACGATGACAAATAGCATATGAAGATGCCGGTAAGCCACGAGCCACGTGGCAGGGTATAGATTTATAGAAATGGCTTAATTTAAGCTGTAAGAACAGTTTGCAAGAAGCCTGCCACGGCCATACAGTTTGTAAGCAATATAAGTCTCTGTGTTTACTTGGTTGGGTTTGAGCAGCTTTGGTACTGGCAGGTGAGAGAGATTTGTCCTGACTGTGGGCCAGGCAGGAAAACTCCAGCTACAAACCATTTCTTTTTTTTTTTTTTTGCATATGATGTTCATGTGGTGTGCATGCATGTGTATATGTGTGTTTGCATGTGTGTGGGTGCACATGTGTATAGGTGCATGTGGAGGTCAGAGGTTGACATCAAGTGTCTTCCTCCATTGTTCTCCACCTTATTCATTGAGTCAGGGTTTCTCATTTGGACCCAGGATGGGTTAGTCTAGCTTGCTCCATGGGTCCCCTGTCTCTGGCTCCCAAGCACTGGGCTATGGGTGGGCCACCACTCCCACCCAGCATTTCTATGGGTGCTGATGATCTGAACTCTAATCTTCACGTTTGTGTGCCAAGCCTTTACCCATTGATCCATCTCTCCAGTCCTGAAGACTCATTTCTCATGCTACCAGAGTCACTAGCTATCAGCACATCACTAGCTTCTCCAATCAAAATGATTCCTGAATGGAAGAAGAAATCACCACAACAAGCACCGCTGGCCCATGGACACTGTCTTAGTTCGGGTTTCTATTGCTGTGAAGACACCATGACCATGGCAACTCTTATAAAGGAAAACATTTCATTGGGTGGCTTACAGTGCAGAGGTTTAGTTCATTATCATCATGGCGGGAAGCATGGCGACATGTAGGCAGACATGGTGCTGGAGAAGGAGCTGAGAGTTCTACATCTTGTACCACAGGTAACAGGAAGTGAACTGAGACACTGGGCATGGCTTGAGCATATGAGACCTCAAAGCTCACCCCCCTACACTTCCTCAAATAAGGTCATACCTACTCCAACAAAACCACTCCTCCTAAGAGTGCCACTCCCCATGAGCTTGTGGGGGCCGATTGCATTCAAACTACTGTAGATGAACAGTCTTATTAAATAAGAAACACAGAGCCAATTGCAGAGTTAAAAGCCCAAGAGGTCAGAGCAATAGCTAAGAGCTAAAAACCCTTTCTTACCCTTCACTGCCTCTGCTGTCCTTCCCCTCAGCAAAGAGGCCTAATTCCTTTGTGTCTGTCCTTTTATTGACTTTCTGTTCTGCCTTCTCATTGGTTATAAACCCAACCACATGACCTCCTCGTCACTGCCTGTCTATACAGACCTCCAGGTCTTCTAAGGTTGGTATTGAGATTAAAGGCGCGTGTCTCCACGCTGGCTGTATCCTTGAACACACAGAGACCCGCCTAGCTCTGCCTCCCAAGTGCTGAAATTAAAGGTATGTGCCACCACTGCCTGGCTTCTGCTATGGCTTGCTATTAGCTCTGACCCCCAGGCAATTTTATTTATTAACATACAAATAAAATCACATTTCAGTACAAATAAAATATCACCATAAAGCATAAAGCACTACCACACACACACACACACACACACACACACACACACACACACTCACTTGCACTTTTTGTTTTTGTTTTTGTTTTTGTTTTTGTTTTTCGAGACAGGGTTTCTCTGTGTAGCTTTGCGCCTTTCCTGGAACTCACTTGGTAGCCCAGGCTGGCCTCGAACTCACAGAGATCCACCTGGCTCTGCCTCCCAAGTGCTGGGATTAAAGGTGTGCGCCACCACCGCCCGGCGCACTTTTTTTTTAATAAATTTATTTTATTTATTATATAAACAGTGTTCTTTCTGCAAGTTTTGCCTGTATGCCAGAAGAGGGAATCAGATCTCATTATAGATGGTTGTGAGACACCATGTGGTTGCTAGGAATTGAACTCATGACCTCTGAAAGAGCAGTCTGTGCTCTTAACCTCTGAGCCATTGCACTTCTATGCCCACCTCCACCCCCACTCACTCTCCACAATCCTGGAAGGATGCGTACCTACCTCCATGTATTTATCTTTGTTCAGAGAACCTGTCAGAAATACAAATGAAGTGGTAACAGCTTTTATTCTGGGAATTGTCTGCCTTGTGGCTTCCCATTCTTACCTCATGTTCTTACTCCATAGAGGTACAGATTAAGAAGGGAGCTCCAGATGGGGTAACAGCTGGCTTTGAAAATATTCTACTGCTCCAGAGTTGTGGAAGTGTATAGGTAAGTTATGAAAACTTTTGATAGGCTGCGGAATTGCAAAATCAAGTCACCCCTCTCCAAACAAGGAGTGAAGGAGAAGGCAGAGTCAGAGGAGATGTTGAGCACTGTTGGGGGAGCAAGATGTAATGGAACACAGGCAATGCCACAAAGCCACGTGGCAAAACACAGATTAATAGAAATGGGTTAATTTAAGATGAAAGAGCCAGCTAGCAAGAAGCCTGAGCCATAGACCAAACACTTTGTAATTAATATTAAGCCTCTGAGTGATTATTTTATAAGCTGCTGCAGGCCAGGAGGGACACAGGAAAACTTCTGGCTGCACCCATCAAGTGGAATATAAAAGGTGACTTGGCTTTTGCCCTCTGGCCTTGTCATGATGGGGCCTCCCTAGCAGAGTGGGCCTAATGATGGTGACCAGTGGGCAAGACAGGCTTGTGCAGCCTGGCCCCATGCCCTCATAGGCAATCAGTGTTTGTCATCACCCTTATCTTGAGTGGAAGGCAAGATGCAAACTGGGGGACCTCACACTGCCCCAAGACAGAGGCAGAACCCTTGTGAAGACCAGCTATTCAGTAACACTGCACACTTGGAAAGGACATGGCCACAGTGTGGACGATCCCAGACTTTTTTAGACTCTTAACACCTGCCAGCAGTTTCAACTTTACGTGTGTGTGAGAACATAGGGTCAAGTGTGGTGGTGCAGGATCTCTCTGAGTCTGAGGTGAACCTAGTCTACATAACAAGTTCCAGGTCAACCAGGGCTACATAGTGAGACCAACCAACCAACCAAACAAAAACAACTAACCAATCAAACAACAACAACAACAACAACAACAACAACAACAACAACAAAAACAATAAAAGAAGTGAGAAGACTTGGGAAATACACATTTGTGTGTTTGTTTGGTTCTTGTTTTGTTTTTGTTGTTGTTTTAGAGACACAGTTTTTCTGTGTAGTCCTGACTGTCCTGGAACTCACTCTATAGACCTGGTTGGTCTTGAACTTAGAGATCTATCTGCTTCTGCCTCCCAAGGGGCATTTAAGGTGCACCACCACTGACCAGCTTATATTTTTGTTTTTTTTGAGACAGGGTCTCTCTATGTAGTCCTGGAACTCACTATGTAGACCAGGCTGGCTTTGAACTCACAGAGACCCACCTGCCTCTGCCTCCAGAGAGCCTGCTCTGATGTTTTAATAACACCAGTGTACAGGATACTTCTTCTTGAGCTGAGTTTCTCTGAAGATAAACACAGCATGCCATTGGCTAAGGTTTCAAACTCCAAGGTCTCTGCTGATAATGTATGTTTTAGGCAACTTGGTAATGTGTCTCACTCTCAAACAGAAAAGCTTATTTCTGCAATCCAATTCAATTTAGACATGTCAAAACAAGAATTATACTGTATTTGGAGTTTGAAGAAATGAAATTTAAAGGGTTGGGGAGATGATTCAGTGGTTAAGAATGCTGCTTAACCACTGTTTGTTGTTCTAGAAGACCCAACTCCAGTTCAAAGCACCCGTATCAGGTGGTGGCTCAAAATACCCTCTTCTGGCCTCTGCGGGCACCATCACACCTGTGGGGCGCACACACACACACACACACACACACACACACACACACACACACACACATACTAAATAAAATAAATATTAAAAATGTTTTTATTTTATGTTTGAGTGTTTTGCCTGCATGTCTGTGCACTATGTGCATACCTACCTGGTGCCCACAGAGGCCAGAAAAGGGCATCATAACCCCTGGAACTGGACTATGGATGATTGTGAGCCACCGTGTGGGTGCTGGGAATTGAACCCAGGTCCTCTGGAAGAGCGGTCAGTGTTCTGAACTGTTAAGCCATCTATTTCTCCCACTCTCCACCGTGTGTTTTTAAAGACACCATTTGTTAGTTTCTCACAATGACATTTAGGGAGTATTCTGGTTCATTCTCTAATTTGGTTGAGGATAATGTGGCTCAGAGACTTGCACAAGGTCACCCATCCCAGAGGTAGGGCTGGATTTAGCACTAAAGTCTGGAGACATCCTTGTCCACCCTGTCAAAACCAAGAATGCATGATATAAAGATTTTTTTCTTTTCTTTTTTTTTTTTTTGTGCCCGTCAAAACAAACTATTCCAAAGTTAAGGTTATGGCCTGGATATACTTTTCAAAAAATATGACAGAATTTCTAGCCTGCAGTTTATGAATAGAATCCCAGCCAGGACCTTGTGAATGGAGATAAGGCCTGTGCCCTGCCCCCAGCCTAGAGCCTATGAATGGAATCACTAGCCTTGAGGTTATGAATGGAGTCCCTAATCTGGAGCTTGTGAATGGAGCCTTATATGGAAAGTGGTCTTGACAGATATGGTCTAGTTAGGATGGAGTGCTTACAATGTTGGCTCAATAGTGGTATCATATGGTAGAATATGCTTTTCACTCCCATCCTTTCAGAATTACTGAGAGTTTTCCAGAGTCTTTAGAAAATGTGACATGATAACTGGCCAACCGAACAGCAGCTAGGCAACTTTATTGGGCTTCTGTGATGCTTTCTGTCAAAACACTTGGAAAAATGTGAAAATGAAATCTTGTATAATATTTGAGGGACCAGCTTTAACATTATACATCCCAGGGGCTCAGGAGAGAGAACTAATGGCGAGAACTATTTTTGGGAAATAGAATCTAAGCACACCGAGCTCTGTAGTTCACTAGCTTTAATTCTTCTGGCATAACATCCACATATACGCAGCTTCACTTCTGTTCTCGTACCTAGCTCCTTTCTTGCCTG